TCAGCTGTCTCCCATACCGATATTGATGGTGGCCTGTCTGCTGATGATCTCCGGAGAGAGAGGTGTCAAGGTCGACACGTCCTGACAAAGAGAACAATTCAGGTTAATGACTCGTCATGCCAGGACCGACTGCATCAGAGCGAGCGGCGTGCTTAATCCCAAAGAACAACGAGGGGCAGCAGCTCACAGGCGGAAACAAAACCACCCGGGATTGTTCTCATAAAGCAACAATCCCTCAAGTACTCTACTTTACCAACATTATAACAGAAATCACTGGGAATTTTACTGTAGGAGTGTCTAAAGAAGCAAAGTTTCAGGTGATGACTGTGTCTGGTAACAAAGTTTGATGGCGACATCAAAAGAGTTTGATGGCGACTACAATTTGTGAAGAGCACGAAAACAGGATTGTTTTAATGGACCAGGCCCTGATTACAGGTAAACAATAAGGTTTTGTTTCCCCTGTAGGACACATGCAGCACTACACGCAGTGTTTTTGTTCTCATCTCGTTAAGTCACAACTAACGAGAACTTATGTTGAACAAAGACTGATGTTATTTAGTATAAACACACGAAAAACACGCGGAAAGTCGTATCTTTGACCCACATTTTTTTGGTACCAATTTCCATTTATATAAAAGGTGAGAATATGAGCTACAACAATGTAAATCCAATGAGTTGGAATGAAAGCTTTACAAGCTCAGTGATGGTCTCTTTTTACAGCTTGGACTAACAAGAAGGATGTAAGTTTATAAAGGTGTTTTTATGCCGGACTAAACATTAAGAACCATTTTCTAGATTCTAGCAAAGATGTTGCTAACTCCGTGGAGCTAACTAAAATTAAACCGGGATAAACAGGCTTCAATAACGCTGATAACTATGAATATCAAGTAAGTCTTTTAACGTGTGAATCGTGTTAAATGTGGCTGAAATAACGCTGTATTTCGGGCTGGAAGTGCAACGGGTCTGAGCTTTCCGCCCAGCTTGGGCCCTTGCGTCATGTGCCGGGTGGCGCAGCACCGGCATCCGTTACAATTCTCCCGGCCTTCTGTGACCGTTTTACCGAAACAACAGGCCACCGACAGCCGCCAACGTAAAACCACACTGTTGTAAGCACGATATACAAACACTTACCAGAGTACTGAGGTCCTGTTTGGCCAAGTGAGGCTGACCGAGCGTTGTGCCTGACTCGTCGCCCGCCATCTTGAAAGAAAAGGGAATGAATAAGGAGGCCTGGCCGAATGCCTGATCTATCGATTAAAGCTGCACTCCTCTTCGCCTAAAATGTTTTCCGACAAAATTAATTTTACTGCCTGGAAGCCTGGAAGAATTTATTACAGCTTTAGAAGCAGATGTGCGGTATGGGTTTTTTTTTAGCGGTAACTTCCAGGTATAATTTTAAACTTAAGCGATCCGCCCAAGTAAAAGTGTAGTTGGGTCCTTTCTCGAGGGCTGATGCAACAACCGGAGCGGCTCTCAGTTTCTGCTGTAAATTTAAACCAGTTTAATAACCGCACACTGCTGCTGTTCGTATCTCA